CTATAACGGGCTAAGAGCATCCGTTATCTTTGCTTACACGGTGGCTAGGAAGCGTCGAGGAGACTCAGTCCAACTGAGTCTAAGTCGTTGGAAAAGAGGAAAATCAACTCTGCTTATTATGGAGCCAGGGCAGTAGCCCTGCTCCCTTTTGTGAACCGCTCAACTGAGGTTGATGCCTGATCGGCCGGTTATCTGCCAATCAGGACATGGCACGCAGCCCACGCTACTCGCGCGCTGCTACTGCTACATATGTAATATCTAATAGCTGATCATCTATATATGCAATGGGGCACATTTCATCCCGCCCCCTCGAAGTAGCACTAACGGTCTCGTTAGTGCAAACGCAGAATAATCTCGACAACGGCGTGAGCACTCCGACGCGCGTGACAGGAACCAGTCGTGCGACCACAACACAAGCGACGACGCAGACCACAAGCTCCAGTGCAAACTCGACGGACCCTCCAGCGTACTTCGTGATGGAGGGGGACCTCAAGCCTTGGGAGCCCTACAGCTTGGACGGCGCCGAGGAACCCGAGACGCTGGACACGACGAAGGACTTTTTCGCTCGCTGCCGCGCGATACGTGGGAAGGCGACCAACGTCACGTACACACACGATCCCCTGCAGCGCTCGTGGTGCTCTTATTTCCGACGCTGGAACGGCGCGCGACGTGAAGGCCTGTTCTTCACGTCCTGGCTCGAAGACCGCGAGGGCAATAGGAGCAACCACGCTATTGACGAGTGGCGAATCTCCTACGTGCACCTTGTGGAAGGCTGTACGAAGTGCTCTGAGACTCGGGATCGACCGAGTCGCACTGAATGGGAGCATCAACTGGAGCTCTGGCCACGGAGCGAGGTAGAGCGGCAGGCAATCGGTCGCTACGACCGATCATGATCGCAGCTGGAGCAGGCGAAGATACGCAAGACACTTCACCGCAGGGGATCGCGTCGACGTTGGCGTCCGCGCAGCCGAAGTCGCTCTCGGGATCGTAGTCGCTCACAGCGACAGCAGTCACGCTCGCCGCCACGAGCGAGGCCTCATAGTCGTTCACCACGTCGGGAACATATTCAAGCAGGCGACTACGTGGCTCCCACATGTCATCAGTGGGAGAGTGGCCAAGCCAGCGGACACGATAATATTTTTCGCTACGACGGGCACGACCGCGAGCGTCGCGAGGGGGACCCTCGCGACCAAGACGCACATCGTGGGCGACAAGTCTCTCCACGATCCAGCGTTCGTTACTCACCGCATCAACTAGTGGCGGCGGCGGGTCTCGTCGACAGCGGGCTTCGTGATCCGGCTTATTCTCGTGAGCCGAGGAGAGGGGCGCAGTGGAGCGTTTGACAATCGACCAGTATCGCCTGATGCGTCGGGAGGACGATCAGGCGAGAAACGACGCACTGGAGGCTCAACAGCTTGCGGAGGCTGCTGATCGGCGCGCATACGCGGCTGAAAGGCTCACCTCTCAGTCGGAACGGGGGCGTCGGGCGATGATGAGTCGCCTGTGTCATTTGGAGACACTGGTCTGCGGCGGGCCTCGGGCAGCGGAGCCATCTCACGAGGAGGGAGACCTCTTGCCTTCTCGGCGCCAGCGTCGTCATGCTGGGCGCTCGGATTACGCGCCAGCACCTGGCGAGGGTGAGTGTCGGACGGAATCGTAGCGGGGTAGTACGG